AAAAAAAAAGAAAGCACCCGACGATCTGATAAACTACTAACAAAGTTAATACCAGAAACTACAAAATTTGATGAATCTCCAACTTCAAATTCCAAACAAAAAGAATCCAAATCCGATCACTAAAAGTAGAGCTCTGGATTAAGCTTATCTCCTCAAATTCATAAACCCAAAAAAGGAAACACAAAAATAGAGCAAGATCTTCAAACACAGTGGAAGAATTTTACCAGTCTCAAGAACCAGAGCGAAATACGAGTTCTTTCTCTTCTCAAAAGCCTTGAGACTCAAATACCCAGCAAGAATGAGCACCAATCTTGCTCCCCCACCACCAACAAGTGATACCATGCTTCCTTTCCTGAGAAGTATTGCATAAACTCAACATCGTTCTCCAGTTCGGTCATCGTCTCCGGCGCTAAGACAACCTCCAGATCGACGGCTTCGTTTCCTTCCCTCCCAGGAAAGGCTGAGATCTTGCTGTCAAACTTATTAGCTTTGTGGAGCAGATCTACTCCCCAGCTCAAATCCCGAGACAGAAGCTCCCTTGCCGGAGCAATAGTCAGAATGCTCTGTATTGCGTTCCCGAAGTAGAACGCGTCCAGCCGTGGCTCGAGCCTGGACCTGCAGTTCACAGCCATTTCTAAACATCGTCATTTTGGAAGGATCGTGAAACAGAAATCGTGCATCTTTCTACCAAATGGGTAATTGTTGGGAAAATCTAAACTTGGGTTTTGCAGATCAAATGGAAAATCAAAGAGAGAGAGAATAAGAAGAAGAATAAGAAGAAGATGAAGTTTGAGAGAGAATCTAGGTCTCGGTTTGTAGAGGTAAGAGAAAAGGAAAGGTAAAAGAGAGAGAAAATGAAAGAGGAAGAAGAAATTTGACGTTGGTAAAAAAACAAAAGAAATTATTAATTTTAAATTAAAGGAAAATGTTAACTCATAATTATTTTTTTTATGTCATTGGTTAAGAAAAAGAAGAATTGATCTGCTCATAAGTTAACATTTCAACTGTTATTTACCGTACGAAAGAATCGTTTTGATACCAAAAATAAAAATTTAAAAATAAATTTGATATTTTTAAAGTTAAAAAATAAGTTTGATGCGAAAACTGATAAAAATTGAGGGACCAAAATAATACTTAAACCTATAGAAATTTAACTTTCTGTAGTCTCGTTTCCCATCCCCCAATTTAACTTAAAAAAATACAAGAGTTCTGTAGAGTTCTTGAACTCTTGTAGACGGAGGGGTTCTTAGGGTTCTTGGGGCTGCTTTCATCGTCCGGTTTCTGTCGTGCCTCTTGTTTTCCGGTTGGGTTGTTTCTTCCTGTAAATCTACCTTAATCATCCATTCAAGAACTAGTCTCTTCGTTTCTCTTGGGTTGTCCTAATATCTCGTGTTTTCTTGCTGTGATACCCTTCAATTAGAAATGTAATTTTTCTAATTTCTGGTTTTCTGGCTTTGGATCTAAGCCTGTCTCTTTGATTTTGGAGATTGGCTTTTGAAATTTAGTTTACTTTGAGTGAGAGCTTGGTGTTCAACTCAACACTTTAGGAGCAACGGCTTGGGTCCTTCGCCAAGTCGTAGTTTTTGGCTGTTTGGATCTTTGATCTGCTTCCAATTCTTTTCTTTCCTCGTGTTTTCTTTTGGTTGGCTGTCAAGAGTGTTATGGAATTCCCTGCTTCTGGTTCTAGAGTAGGTTTTCTTGCTGGTGAATTTTTGAGTTTTGATTGGAATCCCAAACTCAGACCTCGCTGAAAGCGCTGCAGTGTCCAAGGAGGTGGGAGAAGATTTTGAGTCTCAAGACGTTTCACCCAAAATAGCAACCATAACCGGCATCTCGGTGCTTCAGAAAAAGGCGAATTAGTTATGGAAGAACAGGCCATCATTTTTCAAGCAGTGGTTCCAATTGGTGAGAGCAGGTCGATGATGAATGCCTGGTTCAAAATCCAACCCAAGCCCAAAATCTCCGGACCTTTCCATGCCAGACAACCTCCTTTCCGTTTGGGGATAAGTTCTGCCTTTGTCGGTTCCTCCTTGTATACAATAGGCGGCCGAGTGCCCAACCATTTTGTGCTCAGCGACTGCATCAGCTGGCTTGACACCAGTGATGCTTTCAGTGCGTGGAAGACCAATAAATTACCATCTCGTTGTGTTGATTCAGTCCTTGGTGTTTATAGTGAATCCTTGTACATATTTCCCGGTGTGTGGAAATATGGTTATTATCACATGGACGAGGATAAATATCTTACTAATCGAAAGGGCTACATCTGGAGCACCAGAGAAAATAAATGCCTTGAAACCAAAATAGGCCCTCCAAAAGTTGAAGGTGAAAAATGGCAGTGGCGTAGGATTCGTGCTTGTGCTGCTTTGGATAAAGAAGGGCTTCTAATTGCTATGGATGGAGAAAAGAACAACTTCTTTCTCTATAAACCAGAGAAAAATGATTGGGAGATATGCAAATTTAAGGATCCACTTCCCAAATTTATTGGTGAGACTAGCTTTGCAGCATCCAACGGGAGACTGTACTTCTTGGAGGTTCAAGGTAAGTTCCCTGCCTTATTATACATCTACGATATTAAGGAAGGGAAGCTCGTGATAGACAAAACGCCTATTCTGGAGCTTGATGATGACTTATGGTCAATGGATGAGTGGGATAGAGTGGTCCGTTTAGTCCTCGTGGCTGATGACAAGCTCTGTTTACTGTGGCTTGGTCCTGTTTCCTATGAAAATGAAAACGGATGGCCTCCTGCTCGGATCCTTCACTATCTCAAATTTAAGGTTTCTAGCCGTCCTAATTCAGTGTTTGAGGTCGAGGATAGCAAAGTTTTTACGACAAGCATCACTGATTTATTGGATTGCCTGCCATGGTAAGTCCTTTTCCATTTTCCCTTTTAATTTGCATGTCACATATACTACTTGACTTCTAACTATTCTTTTCTGTTAACATTAGTGACCTTGCACAATTTGAAGCTGAAGCAAAAGGCAAATCTCAACCCCTTACCCAAGATGTCAAACTCAAAGCAGTCATAGCTTCAGAAAAAAAGGAGTTAGTTATAGATCCTGTGACAACTATGGCTGCCAGAGAAAACGCCATCCTTTTCCAAGCAGTGGTTCCTTCTGGTGAGAGGAAGTTGATGATGAATACCTGGTTCAAAATCCAACCCACAGCCCAAATCTTTGGACCTTTCCATGGAAGACAACCATTTCGTTTGGGGATAAGTTCTACCTTTGTTGGTTCTTCCTTGTATACAATAGGCGGTGAAGTGCCCTCCAGCAGATTACCTAAGCCTTGCGACGTCAGCTGGCTTGACACCTGCCATCCTTTCAATGGGTGGGAGACCGGTGAATTACCATCTCCTTGTGTTGATTCAGTTATTTGTGTTGCTGGTGATTCCTTGTACATACTTACTGAGCTAGAGGGCTACATCTGGAACACCAGAGACAATCAATGCCTTAAAACCAGAATACACCCTCCAAGAGTTGAAGGTGGAGATCAGAAGCAGAGGCCTAGGGTTCGTGCTTGTGCTGCTTTGGATGGACAAAAGCTTCTAATTGCTATGGATGGAGAGAACAACACCAACTTCTATCTACATCCACAGCCAGAAGATGAGGCAAGAGACTGGGAGAGATTTGGGACTCCACTTCCCGCATTTACGAATGAGATTAGCTTTGCAGCCTCAAACGGGAGACTGTACATCTTGGAATTTCCAAATAATCCCCCTGCCTCCTTACACATCTATGATACCAACATGAGGAAAATCGTGCAGAATTACCCAATAGACTGGCTAACATTGAATGCCTTGTGGAAACTGGATGAGAAGGATAGGGTGGTCCGTTTAGTTCCTGTTGCTGATGACATGCTCTGTTTTCTTTTGCTTGGTCCATTTGAGGATAAAAATGGTTGGCCTCCTGTTAAAACCCTTTACTATCTCAAACTTAAGTTTTCCTTCAATCTTAATGAGTTTGAGATTGTAGATGACAAAAGTTTTCATACAAACATCACCCATTTATTAAATTGCCTGCCTTGGTAAGCCATTTTCCATTTTCCTTTTTAATTTACATTTAACATATACATCTTGATTTCTAACTATTCTTTTCCGTTAACAATAGCGGACCTGAACAATTCAGAGCTGAAGTCGACCCGTTAGTGCTTTTCCATTTCCTCTTCTAATTCTTGTGTCAACTATGTAGCTGACTTCTAACCCTTTTTGTTATTATTATTATTTTTCTGTTGGTAGTGATGCATCTCAAAAACAACCAGAAGACAATGCTTCTGCAAAAGCAATTGGAACAAGGTTTTTTCTACTCATTTATCCTCTTCTAATTTACTTTTTTTAATTTTGGGTAACATTACTCATTTACCCTCTTCTAATTTTTGCCTCTCTCTTATGCAGCTTGATTTCTGACCGCGATCAAGCAGAGAACACTCCTTCCCCTGAGGGAAGAGAAAGAGAAGGAAAAAGAGAAAGGTTTTTACCAGTTTACCTCATCCGTTTGTTCATTCTTAATTTCAACCAGGTTACATTACACCAAATATATACATTGATTTCTGAAATACTGTTTTTCTGTTGGTAGCACTCAGTCGTCGCAGAGGTCAGATGCGGAGACGGAGGAGTTGCTGGATCGAATGCTTACTTGGCTGGCGCTCTGCGACGACTCCAAACTCGAAGCCTTGCTCTCGAAGCTCCTCCCTCTCACCATCTCCTCACTCTCCTCTCAGTCTCTAGCCGTCTACAACAAGGTGCGGACGAAATTTTTTATCTGTTCTTATCAGTTCAAATTAGGAAGATAGCTGAATTCGTGTTTCCGTTGGAAATTTTCTTTTGACTGTTCTCTTGCATTTTAATGCTTATGAAGCTTTTGTTTCTCGACCTTTTCTCTTTAGAAACAGGAATTGATTACCTTATTGCAGGATAAAATGGAGGTGTAAACATTGTGTTTTGATTGATTAGATTCTCAGTTCACTGATTTCTTTCTGCCTTGGTATTGTTAGGTTCTTGAGATCTTGAGTCATGTGAACAAGAGAGTGAAACATCAGCCTGAGATTGGTTTGCCATTGATGGACTTATGGAAAATGTATAGTGAATTGAATGCACCTCCAATGGTTAAGAATTTCTGCATTATATATGTTGAGATGGCATTTGAACGGATAAATTTAAAGGTATATTCATCATTTTCTTTTTTTCTCTTTTAATTAGTGTACTTTGTTTAAGTTTTGTATTACAGCTTGCTACTTGGAGTATTTGGAATTAATCTCAGGTTCTCTTTATAGGAGAAAGAAAATATGGCACCAATGGTTTTGACAAACATTTCAAAGCTTCCTCAGCAGCACCAAGAGATCATCATGAGGATAGCTGTAAAGGTATATTTCAAAATATTTTCTCTCTCCTTTCTTGATTCTTCATATCATGTACTGGATATTTTCATTTAGTCTCTTACTCTCTTTAAGCACCACTGGATAAGCTTTTTGATGTTTTCTAATTCTAGATATAGTTTTTAGTTTGGTAC